GGGCCCGGGGTGAGTTAGCCCCGACGCCCGTTCCCGCGGCCGGGCTGAGCTGTGGACCTTGGACCCCGGCTGCTTTTGCTGCCGGGCGGGAGCCATGAGAAAATGTCACAGCAGTAAATAAACACCGTGGGCTGGATCTCTGCAGGGCCAGGGCCCGCCTGGGCCCTGTGGGCAAGGGCAGCTGCAGCGGTGAGGAGGTCACACAGCGCTTCCTGGGCAAGGCTGGCACCCTCGGCCCTCACCGGAGATCCACTGCCGTGCTCTGCCCCGCTCGCTTGGGCTGGAGGGGTGGGTTGTGCTGGCCTACACCTCCCTAGGTAGCCACAGTGGCATGAAAGGAGCAGTTCGGGGTTGCCCATCTGAGCTGTGTGTTTCTACAGGGACAGCAGGCTTGGCTGCTTAACTCTGCGTTTCAGCCTTCTTGTGTAATCAGAGTCAGATACCAAGATGGGGATCCTAGAGTCACAGCATGGTTTGGGTTGGAAGGGACCTTAAAGCCCCCTCAGTCCAACCCCTGCCATGGGCAGGGACACCTCCACCAGCCCAGGCTGCTCCAAGCCCCGTCCAACCTGGCCTTGGGCACTGCCAGGGAGGGGGCACCCACAGCTTCTCTGGGCAACCTGGGCCAGGCCTCACCACCCTCATAATAAAGAATTTCTTCCTAATATCCAGTCTAAATCTACCCTTCTCCAGTTTAAAACCGTTAACACACTTCTTTTGATGCAACCCAGGATATGGTTGGCGTTCTGGGCTGCAAGTGCACATTGCTAGATCATTTCTTGCTTCTCATCAACCAATGGAGAGAGAGAATGGATCTTCTCATACCTGAATCTGCTTGTTCCTAGGTTCATTTCAAGGTGTGAAGTGACACCCTAGAGTAATGGCAGCTTGTGGGACCCTGTGGCTGCTTCTCTGTCCCTTCTTCAGGGTTTGAGACTTAATGTTGGTGATCAATTTAGGGTGCTTCCCAGGAAGGTTTCTAATACTGGTATGTCTAGGTGGAAGCTTGTATCTCATGTGAGCCCACAGTACTTGATAGCTTTTCAGAAGTGTGAATTGCCAGGGACAGTCCAAAACCCCTGTTCCAGTACCTGTTGCACTAACACTTCCACTTCTGCATGTCCCAGGTAAGGAAAATGAAATACCTCCAGCTCTGAAAAGTCATTTATAGAAGGAAAGAAAAAAGGTAAAGCTGGGTGCTGTGTTTGGTTCTGGACTTCCTACCACAAGAAACACATTGACAAACCAGGGGAAAGTGAAGGACAAAGGGCAATGAGCACAAGTTGTTGTAAGGGCAGTCCCAGTTGGGTGTAAAGCAAAGCACCTTCAGCACGAGGGTGCTCCAGTGGTGGCACAGGTGACTGGGCAAGGCCCTGAGTCATGTCCCGTTGCTCTGTGTCCTTTCAAGGTGTTATGCTGTCCTAAATGCACAACTTTCCCCTT